GCAACACCGCATTGGGAGGAAGATGATGTAGCTGGACTCCGTGCTCGCAGAGAAAACCATAGAGGAAGTCAGACACCGGGATCCCGAACCTACGCTTGTGGAAGTTGGTGGACGACACCACTTCCCCAGGTTACAGATGAGGCGCCGCCTCGCCGTCAAGGGCCCTCCATCCAACAACTTCCTTCAGCGGAAGAAGAGCCTTAGCCACGAGGCGCTGCAGCTTCACCTCTGTTACCAATGAAGGAATCCACTCCCCCATCTCGCGTTGCAGGCGGAAGAAGGAGCGGAGACAGTGGAGCAAACAAGCGACGGCGGTGACATACACGATCTAGAGGTAAACTGCACGAACTCGACCCTTTCCCTTCTGTCTTTCCTTCAAAGATTACAGGAACGGTGGCAGGTGGTGAGAACTAGGTAAGGGGCCAGCTCGAATAGAGGGGACTATTTATGTGGCGGCGATTAGGGAAGCGAACCGCACCTAGGCGGAATCCGCCCTAATATGGGCTCCACAAACCCTTAGAAACCAAGCCGGTGCGCCATAACGCGCAGCAATACCATTAAGACATGAAGGGTCCAGGGAGGTCGACCACCCCTAGGATCCACGCGCAGAGCGACCATCGGTCACTGTGACCGCACAGCGCACGCTCGATCACACGACGAGTGAGCGCCGGAAAGTCACGACCCCGATGAAAGAGGCCCAAGAGCCCCTGAGCCCATGCGCGGGGTAGCTGGGTCATGACCACGACCCAACGTCGTAATTAGGAAATCTACCCCTAGGCCGATCCTTAGAAGGGCTCAAGGCCACGAAAGGGATAGGGACAGGAAGGAGATGGGCCCCTATGGCTCTAATCGGTGGTGTAGAGCCACGCGACCATCCCTCCCTGTGTTTGAGTCATTAGCTTTGAAGTCTCCCAGGTTGACCCCCTCTGGGGGGAGGCATCTTGCCCTCTAGCTGCTGCGGAGGTGGTTGGGGACTAACAGGATTGACAGGCCATGATTTACAAGACGTCTCACGTGAGGAACAGCCGAACTCCACGTCAATTGGGGAGGATATCGGGTCCCGCTCGAATTACCCATCGACCTCGATGAGGTGCACCGCTCCGACCACGTGGTTACAGTGGACATGCCTCTCCCCACGTGGGGCAAAACTAAAAACTGCCCGTAACAAGGCACCACGACCCCTCAGGTCACAAAGAGCATTAGGGAGCAAAGAGGCTGGCGTCGGCGCCCTAAATCCTCGATTCTTAGCAGATAGCAACGCATCCATGAGAGCCACAACCCTAGCGACGCCGAGATGAGACGACAACCTCTGGTCAAGGGAGACGCCTCTAAAATTTCGACGCAAAGCTCATAAAATATGAAAACAAGAGATAATCCTGGGTCAAAGCCCAGGAGATTATAAATCAACCCAGCCGAGCACCGCGGCACTTCACAAGCAAACCCTTCTCTAATCTGTCACGACATGAGAGCGGCCAGCGCCACGAGGCCTGGCAACCCTAGGCACGACAGTAGCGACCTATGCTCTAGGAGCTATGGCACCGAATAGGGGCTTGCGGGATGCTCCCCTCCATCGTGAACACGGCGGAGAGAAGCACCCCACAAAACTCTATCCAGCGCGGCACTTCCCAGAGCGCAAGACACTAGGGTGAGAGATGGCTTCGTTGCCGCCATCTCACAAGGACAGGGACGGCATGGTGGAACCGCCCACAGCGAGGGCCACCTCGCACATTCGAGCCAGAGCGCTCCGGAGGCCAAGGGGGTCACAAAGCTGCAGTTCTAGTGACCAAGCCACCCAGTCCTGCCAGGGTCACAAGATCCCTCCTAGCACCAAACGATAGGTAGAAAGACGATGGCACCTGGCCAACATAAGAAACACTCAACCAAACTCACGGCGCCTCTATATCTCTTCCTTTCCTCTTGACTCCCTCAAAATCAAGAAAGCCTAGCTCTTGAGCACGACCGTGAGTAGCTCAAGCAGAAGAAAGGCCAATATTTATAGGCCCAGAAACAAGCCATGTAGTCTAAGAGCCACCGCCAACAACAGAAGCCTACGAAAGGTCAGGATAAACAAGACCTTCATAAGGGCAAGACCAATACAACATCGACAAGACCGCTCGGTCCCGCCTGGGTCATGAACCCCGACGAACGGCACACTTACAGAGGCGAGGCGAGGCAGTCACGTTCCACATCGTCAGGTTGTCCCAGGCGAAGTAAAGCACAACGACCATGAGCCCACGCTCCAGATGAACACGCATATCAGCGCTTTCCCGATCACTTCGTGATCGCAAAAACGCTCGGGGGCTACTGTCGGGGTCATGACCCCGGGGTGTCTCAGGGCACCGATTAGTTAGCAGACCGCATGGTCCGCAACACAGCAGCTAGCAAAGGCCCAAACAACCGAGGCCCAACAAAAGCAGAGCAGAGCAGGCCAGGTGCTAAGGCCGGGGGCGATCACGATCCCTTCCTCCAACATTAGGCCACGTGATGCTCAAATACACGACCTCTTCCCCGTCACGACCTCTAGGAGAGACAGGGAGAGGTTGAGCCCCACGCAACGTGCCCGTTCTGACGAAGGAAAGCACGCCGCGCTGACCCCGCAAAGACCAATGTGACGGCAGTCACCTCGGTCCAGTCAGACGTCAACCCAGCGCCATACCGCACGAACAAGGCAATACTGCACGACGGTGGCAATGGGTACGAAACCCACCGTCCGAATACAGACCGACATGATGCGCGTATGATCCCACCCACTACGGGATGAGATCCATGACAAGGGCCTCGACCTAGAGACCTCCCTGGCTTACGGAGTGCCCCGACCCCAACGATCGGGGTCGTGGCTCTCAGCCCCACGAAGTGACCAGGTGAACAACGACTCAGGGCGACTACCTACTATAGGTACGGCGCCCCGGGGAACCTGGAGACGACGGCGAAGACCATGACGGATGCCACGTTATACAGGACAGCTGATGAACTATCACCATGGCTACAGTGCTGCCACGACCAACATAGTAGCACCACGTCAGACCCTACCGCGTCGTGGCCACAAGACCATGACGACAGCCACGCCCGGACAAGCATCAGAAGACGACGTAGCTTGCAAGCCAAGTTAGCTAGGACCTCCTTCAGGCTCTCGACCCTTCGGTCGGGGGAACCTTCTCTTTGTAACGAGCCCTGGCCCCGAACTCTATATAAGGATGGCCAGGGCTCCCATCTCGGGATATCTTCACATTCTTCATCATCTACCATTCCATCCATAGCGGTAGGGCTCCTGGAGCTTCTCTTTAGGCTGCCCCTCGTCTAGCATAGGTTCTACCACCTCTTTCACCATTCTTGCACCCTCCATTGTAAGAACTTCAGAGCATTCAAGCGAGGAACACGCACTCAATCTTCTCTGAGACTGGACGTAGGGCTCCGGCCTGAACCAGTATAAATCTTCGTGTCTATTGGATGCTACCATCGTCTTTCTAGAGCAGCGCGACAATCATATAAATTTACTAGTCTGATTTACGAAACACCGACAAGTTGATAAATAGCAAATAACAATATAATACACACTTCATCCATTTCAAATTATAAGATATTTTGGCTTTTCTAAGAAAAGATAATATATCTTATAGTTTGGAAATGAGGGAGTACCAAATTTACCTGACTTTTTAAGGAAAAATTGTTGTTTTCTTGTATGTGCTATATTACAGGATAAAGAGAATATATTTACATCGGTACATCCAACTTATTTCCTTTAAAGCATCCATATCTCTGGTATCAATCTAACTAAATTATCGAATCGTGTTGGTCAACGTGATAGATTAAAAATGCCTTGAACAACCAAAGAAATAATAAAGTTCATACTCTAAAAATAAAAATCCATGCTGGTCAACATGATAGAATAAAAAAAATCCTTGTTTATCAACCAAAGAAATAAAATTCATACTCTAAAAATAAAAATCCGCATCCATGATGGGTTCCAATGGAGCTAAACAATTATCAGGTCCAATAATAGTCCATTACACCAAAAATTTCCAAGATAACTTATCCGATTACCTAAGAAACAAAGTATGGTTCATTAAGATGAATTTGTAACTATTATTACATGTACATGATAGTTTGGCACAATAAATATAAGAGCTTATGATTCCCCCTCTATTGTACCATAACAAAGATGGGGCCTAATAGGTCTACAATCCATGGGAATTGAACAGTCAGCTCGGTTGTTCTAAAGGCTTCTTCGAGCATAGAATCGCTCATGGGACCAACAAGTTTTATTTCCAACACAAGAAGCCTAAGTTAGGTTATGCTCTTGACAGCCAACATGTTTCCTTTTGGTAAATATCATACTCTAGTTTAGAAATTAAATCCACATTGTGATCGGTTCCGAATTTCCCATGGAGGTAAACAATGATCAAGTCCAATAAAATAATAGACAAAATATTTCCTCATTAAAGCTTATTATTTATCTGTTAACCAAAGAAACCAACCATGATTCATGAAGATTAATTTGTAATTATTGTGCACATACCCTCCCGTATCGCACATGGAGCCGATAAGCTTCATTTCCAACACAAGAAGATTAAGTGAGGCAGGGCTCAAAAGTAGCGAGATGCCAGTGCAAACGCACAACTCGGCATCAACAACCAATCAGGACTTAATCACAAGACATGGCCAAGGAGAATTGTAGAAAACACGAGCAAGCAAGGGAATTCTGTAAGGATCAGAGCTGCAGCTTTGATTATAGGTAAGCAGAGTATATACAACTCCTCAAAACTTTACAGCCCCTGATGACCAGCCCTAAACCTCCTAACAGAAATGAAAACAAAAATTGAGATCGTAACCCCAACCACCTATATGTTAGCCATGTCGCATCTAATCTTTGCGAGCTTCTCTTTTCCTTCCCTATCAAACAACAAAAAAATCTCCTGAGGTTGGCAACAAAATCTGTGAGCCATCTAGATCACACGTCCCAAATTACTTTACACTGTACACGAGCTGGTGATCCTCTATGCTCAGCCGTTCAGCTTCGCCAGGAACTGGTTCAGATCATACTCATCAGCATACTGCGACTGATCCCAAAGCTCATCCAGCCCGTTAAGAATTGACTTCAAGCCTTTGCCACCAGATTTCCTCTTGGAATCTTTACTCTGCTCGTCGCTTGAACCACGTGGAAGGACCGATGCCTGTCACGGGCAAGAGAATGCATTAGAAACAAAACATTTCCACGTCTCTCTGCATCGCAAAAGAAAGAAAGAAATGCCTCAAGGGGTTTACTTTTCTTGAATCAGGGGTAGATGTGAACAGATCAAGCAGCTGGTCAGTGTTCATGGTCTTCAAGCTCGAGTTCTCAGCATTAATGACAGCATTGGCGACTGACACCTTGAACCTCTGGAGAGACATCACCTTCTCCTCAAGGGTGCCACGCATGATGAGACGGTGAACATTCACCACTTTCCTCTGACCCAACCGATGTGCTCTGTCCATAGCCTATAAGAGCAGAATCATATTATTTTAGAATATTGCTGTAAGACACGTGGGGGTGGGGGGTGGATACAATCATGCAACCAAGGATTCACTGAACCTTAAGACATAATCGATGCCAAAGCTAGTATAAAAGGGCAGACCCAGTGCCGGAGGCTCCTACATGAGTGGGGTCTGGGGAAGGGAAAAATCGATGCCAAAGCTAGTATACAGAATGAAAATACTGACATAGCTATACATTTAATTTGCTGAATAGACTAGGTTATGACTCATGAAAGAGTAACGAATTCAAGGCATCAAGACAAATAGCATAGCAAAACCTAAATGAATAGGTAGCATATCATCTTCATGAATGGAAATAGAAAAACAAAACTTACTTGAAGATCCTTCATTGGGTTCCAATCATGTTCCATGAACACCAATGTGTCGGCAGATGTCAAGTTCAAGCCAAGCCCGCCAACTGCAACAAAGAAAGAATCAGAGCAAGCTTTCCCAACATATCAACGAACAATCCCACAGTTCTCTAAACATACCATGGGTTGTTAGCAGAAATACATCAATGGTTGGGTCTGAATTGAATGCTTTAACAATTTCAAATCTCTTCTCTGGATCAACAGAGCCATCCAGCCGCAAATATGTGACACTGCAAAACATCAAGTTTTCTTAATTAGATAATTTGCTCAAAAAAACACTAGCAGAAGAAAAATCATAGCCATAGCCTATGTTGCCAAAACCAAGTATAGCGATGAAGAAATACGAAATGCATGCACTGATGCACATCAAAGCTGCCAAATCAGCAAAGGGATAGCACTGATGACCAGAATACTAGATCAACCTCACAGATTAAACAAGTTCGTTGTGGGCTTGTGGCACTACAATATAATGAAGTACAAAGGCACATAAAACACTACAACCAAAGAAATGCAGCAGAATCTCATACCATACAGCAAGATCAACACACACCCAGCACAAGAAATAAAATATCATAGAACTCACCTTCTCATATGAGATTGAAACAGGTCCTTCTCTATGATGTCGAGAAAAGCCTGAAGGAAAGAAAGTAGGATCATGAGACAAGATTTTTTTTTCCACTTGAAAGGATGACAGAACGAAAGGCCTTGGAACAACAAAATAGACATCCCAAATTTCGATAGGCTTCATACCTTATGCTGTGCAAAAATCAAAACTCTGTGTTGCCCGACAGCTGTCGAAGCATCAGGACTAGATATTTCTGATCCTATACCACATTCTTGAAGTATTTCTTGAAGAGCAACAAGCTTAGGTGAGTGGTGAAGCTCATGAAGCTCACTGCCAGATCCCACGCCTATTTCTTTCAGAAGATCCACAAGATGATTAGGGGGGCTCTCTCCAGTTACAAGTAAAGGATGGCTGCAGAGTTTTAATAGGTACTGCAACGCCTGCATTAAAACGTAAATGTAGTTAGAAAGCAATCCCATTAAAACAAAAAAAATGTAAATGGATAACAAGGATATGAGATTCAACTGCAGCACCTGAAACACATGACGAGTTGCCTTTGGTTGAGGTGCAGATTCCTGTGATTCATTTGCTTTTACTATAGTTGAAATCTCTTCTTTTGCGTTGGAGCTGGAAAATTTGTCATAAAGTTTGAGCTGCAATAGACTGAGATCGCAATATCTATCCTGGATAATCTTCTCTGGAAGATCAGATAAAACTTCACCCTTTGTTCTTCTCAGTAGAAATGGCATGACCTGGTACAGCAGGTTCGAATTTATTTATCTATATACAAAGGTCATTTGTAAATACAATTATAAATAACAAATACCTGCTTATGCAGTGCCTCCATTGCAAGAATACCAGCTTCAGCATCCTTTGCTGAACATTTAGAATCTTTGGCGGCTAGCAATGGTTTTCCATACGTAGCTTGGAACTGTAAAGGACAACGGGCTTCAGTACAATATATCTTCAGACAAGAACAGACCCAGGTAGATTCAAAGAGAGAACATGTACTTCAGCGGAGGTAAGCATTTTATATATATAAAAAGAAAAACTCGGTCGGCAGGGGAAAGACCGCCCCCACGGTATCGTTTGAAAGAGGAAACATCCGTCTTCAACCGACAGAGAAACACCCCAAACCCTGACAGTGGCAGAGCCTATAACATCGCACCATAACCTAGGCCACTGGCCACAGCCACCAGGTTTGGAGTCCCGTCACTACCCCCAGGTAGGACCGCAGTGAGGGATGTTTTTCAAACAGCCCTGAAATTCGCTCCACGGGGAGTCAAACCCAGGGGCTGGAGGTGCTACACAGGAGTCATAACAACTAGGCTATGAAACCTTTTGCAGATTAAGCACAATTCAGTTTGTTTATTTACACTTCATTTAAATCATCTTATGTGAACCTGGATTAATATAACAGACTTCTGTTATGAAAAAACTGGATCGATCTCTGGAGCAAAAATACACATTAGAAAACAAATGAGCATTCCCAAACAAACCGACTAACTGAGAAGCTAGAGTAAAACTAGTAAAATTATGCCTAAAACTAAGCTTTTGTAAGGTACTAGCAGAAGGTACAGATTGCGTAGCTTTTGAGTTTCATATAGAGCAACTTGTATACAAAACACAACTTACTTGTTTTTCTGTCCCAAGAAACCCAGGCATAAGGAAGTCAAATAAAGACCATAACTCCAACACATTATTCTGCAATTCCAATTCCAATGTAATGTGTCAAAGTCAAGAGAAGGTAATAGAAGGTCATACAAATAAAGAACAAACAAAGTCAAGGCGGTGTGCCACTCAAGAAAATAGAAGGTCAACAAGAGTTTCAGTTGAAGCTTTAGTTTACCTGAATAGGTGTGCCACTCAAGATAAGGCGGTGTTGTGCTTTCAGCTGTTTCACAGCAGACGTTATTTTAGACCTTGAGTTTTTTATTATATGCCCTTCATCCAGAACACAATAGTTCCAAGGGATATTCCCAAGAAAATCAATATCCTTGCGTATAATATCATATGATGTTATGATAACGTTAACCTTATCAAACTGACTACGGAGTGTCACTCTGTCCTGCGAAGAACCAACGTACTGAAGAGGTTTCAAGATAGAGGTGTCTATGTACTTCTCTATTTCATATTCCCAGTGGGCCACTAATGTAGAAGGGCAGATAATCAAAGATGTCAGATTTTGTCATCATTCCGTGCACGCGCTTTCTGCAATGTCACTTGCTACAATAGCAGATGCTTGGAGCGTCTTACCGAGCCCCATGTCATCACATAAAATTCCATGTAACTTAAACCGACGAAGGAATGCGAGCCAGTTGATCCCTTCCTGCTGATACCTGCAATAACACAAAATCAATATTAAATAAGCATCAACAGAAAGATTGTGGAATCGCACATATGCATCACAGTATATTTAAACATATGAAACAAACTAACAACTTAAATCATTACAATGGTGCTCTTTACATGAATTATGGTATTGACACACTACTATTATTTAAAATCGAAAAATGGTGTCATGAATCCATGTTATGATAAAAAAAAAGAACTTCTATGTAAGAGAACTGGACCTTCGTAATTCAACGCTAAGACCAATATTAAGCTTGAAATCATCAATTTGGGTGTTGTCAAGGAGCTGTTCCAGAAACTGCACATCTTCAGCACTGCTAGATAAGCGTTCACTTAGTCCACCTGGTAATGAAGCACCCCTTGATAATGGCAACAAAGGAACAAGAGCAGCAAAACTGTGAGTCACAGTCTGCCTAACAGAACCATCTGGGTCACTCATACACTTCAGAAGAGGAACAACAAGGAAAGGTGCATAAGGAACCAACTCCACAGCCAAACCCTGAACAAGAAGGCTCAAAAGAATCCCAGCTCCTTGTCTTGCACATACAGAAGATAAATCGGACAACATTGGAATGACATTTTCTATCACCAGTACCATCACATCATCGGTCAATGACTTTGCCATAGATGTGATGCACCTTGCAGCAGCTAGTCTAACAGCCACATGAGGATGACGAACACACCCAAGAATACAGGGAAGGAGATTTAGCAATTGAGGCCTTAAGGGCTCAGCCAAGTGAGGTGAAATGGAACGAACAACCTGCAAAAACCAGCAAAGGCATTGAAAATGTAAGAAACTAAGCTTGCTAACAGTTTAGGATGGTAAGATACAAACTGATGTAGCATGTTGGATTAACATTAACAGGTGATATAAGCCTAGACAATATAGAAGTTTTATACAAGCTACAATCAGAACAAACCTGGATGTTATTAATGAGTGACTGTGGGTCCTTATCCTCATACGATCTGCCCAGCTGTGCAATACTTGCATCATCTTTCGGAATACCATCTTCGGTTTTTACAGGTTTAAGGAACTCAGTAAGGCAATCCCATAACTTGGGAAGTTTTTCAAACAATGAAGGTCCAAATTTCTCACAGAGATGCTTGAAAGCTAACTCTGATCCACGTCGGCTTATAAAACCCTCCATTTTTGACCTTTCGTCGCCACCAGATGTTGTATGACCCCTGGATCTACGACTGCTAAAACGCTTTCCAATCGATAGCAAATTCTGGTCCTCAATAACCTGCATTGAGTTGATTATTGCAGCTTGAGGTGTCTCACCAGCATCAGTGCACGTCAGAGTGCAGAGATTCTTGGTTAGCTTGTCATTGGGGCCAGGCTTGCGGCCAACACAGCTAAATATGAGCTCAGCAAGTGCATCAGCAGCTTTATCTTGAAGTACTTCCTCCTGGATGATACAGAATCATCTGAGAATAAAGGTTAACGAAGAAAATATAATATGGTCAAAAGAAAAACAAAAATATTTACCTGTTCTCTTTTAATGGCAGCCATTAAAGGTAAAATAACAGGGTTCAACTTGCTAGGCAAACATGACATCCAAACTACAGCAGAAGCCACCAAAGAAGAGACTGTCACATGCAAATTATTCTGCATAATAACATCAAATAACAAAGATTATGTGAAGACATTGCTAAAAGTCTATCAAGAAATTATAAACATCATGGATAGTAATATGCAACACTAGCATTTTTCAAAAAATACAAATCTGAGGACAATAATTTGAATGTACCACATACCTGAACACATTTCAAGTAGCCTGATGTAGACAACAGGCCTTGTTTTGCTGATTCTATGTTATTCAGGAAAATCTTTTCACTTTCTGAAGGAAGATCAGATTCAGATGGTAACAAAAGCTTTGATGCAAAGTTGATAGCATCATCAACACTCAGCACGCAACATTAAGGTTTAAGCTGCTAATATAATCTTTGAAAGCAGCACATGAATCGATTGAGTGGAGCAAATTATTGGCTTCATTATGCATCTTCGTGTATGTCCTTGAAAGTTCAGAATATGGAAGCACAGAATCTTTTGTGGGTAATGCTGGATCAGAGCAAGTCAATAAGTCCAGCAGCCACTCTTTCAAGGAAGATAGGAAAGCTAGCAATGTACCCACTGATACAGGATCTCTGCCTCTCAGATCTTTGAACCAAGAAACGATGATCATTGAACCCACCTGGAACAACGAAAACATATAAGTTTATATCACACATAATTGAACAAATAAATATACTATACATGATTGAGCCATCTCATACCTGTCTCTGGACTCCTGAGAGAGACATGAGGTCATTTGCTAGTGGACTTAGAACAACTTGCCATGAGCTTACGGGCAACTTAGAGGCAAAAAGCCCAAGGGCCATTGACGTAAGAACTCGTGTATGAGTAACAGATTTGTCAGGATCAGCACCAACAATTATCTTGGAAACGCTAGAGGGAACATCCAAATGCTTTTCATGTGAAGTACTTTCCCCTGTAGAACCAAACGAGATCATTCTTGTGTACTCATGATCTAGTCTAGCAGATCTAATCTTTGCAGCAGCTCTCGAACGATTTCCTCGTGGAAGGGCAACTGGTAAAAACATTTTTGTAGAATCCAATGCCGAGCCAAATGGAGTGGTAGCAAGTTGTACCCAATTACTAAAATACAACCTCGCAGCGTATTCAAGGTCCTTCTCAGGGCACTGCAATAGTTGAGACAGTTTTGTTTGTTAATTAATGTCACTGTATGCTAGACTAGATTGTTAAGCTCAGTGCATTTAATAAATATAAGCATGTCCAGAACACCAATAACCTGAAGTAGAAGTTTCCAAGCCCTTTCAGAAGACTGAAGAATATCATCATTTGACTCCAAAAGTAGGTTCTGAAATACAACCTGCAGTGCATCACCTAATATTGATGTTGGCCAGAGTTTAGATGGGGTTGTTCCAGCTGAACTCCTAGTGTTGCCAACCTCAAGAAGCTTCTCCTAAAAGAAAGAAATGAAATTACACAGTTAATTAAGGAAGCCCAATAAGAGATACGAAAAAGCCTGCAATGAGCACAATACTCATGACAACAGCAGAACTGCAACCTTTTCTTGCTTGGTGATAATTTGGTTAATTTATAAGATTATCAAATGTGTGATACAGCAGCACCACAATTAAAACAAAAAAATGCATACCAGTGTTCGTATGGCGGAACGACGAACAGAAGTAATACTATGTCTCATAAAGGGCCACAGCCGGGGTGTCAGTGTAGCTAGACCATAAGGGTTCTCAATAGATGTTAGTCGGTCTTCTTGCTCAGCAATCTGAGTTGCTTCGTTTAGATCTAATTCTCCCTTTTCCCCTGAAGCTGCTGTGCCAAGCATCTTTGGGACCATCTCTGGTCGAGAATATATTTCTGCTAACAAGTTCATTACACTGAAAATGAAAATGAAACTATGAGATTAGATAACAAAAGCATTTCCAGTGACATGAATAGAACCACTTAAGAGGAAGAAAATGACAACAAACAAGTACACAAAAGCTCCACAGATGCAACAAAACTAATGGTAATCGGCGACATGAATAGAGTCCACTTAAAGGAAGAAAATTTCAACAAACAAGTACACAAAGTTCCACAGATGCAACAAACCTAATAGTGATAGGCAGCCGGTTTCAGAATCAGAAGAAAAAAACAATTGAAATTTGAAAATAAAAAGGCCAAGTGGCTGAACCTGCCCACATTATTCAAACATATTGATTTGCAGATAAGGGAAACAGGATTTAAGTATACCTGCTTGTAGATGGGCTTAAATCATCAAGGTCAAGCAATATATCCCAAAGCAACATCACAATTGGACGCAAAATTTGGTCATTTAGACTAACTAGCGAGTCGGCAGTTGGAATCAGGGCTTCTGCAGCCACTGCTCGGACATCATCATCAGGGTCCTCCAGACCAGCTTTACAGGCATGAATGATATAGTCAAGCAAATCTTTAAGCATTTCCTGGTCATGAAAGAAATAACACTGTTGCATCAGCAAAAGGGACAATTTTGTTCAGCAGTACTCCCTCTGTTTTTTTATATGTCATATTAGGTTTGTCCTAAGTCAAACATTCCTAACTCTGACCATCAATTTCAATATATCCATGTAATTTCACAGCATGTGAATTATACATTATGAAAGCATTTCTCATAGTGAATCTAAAAACATAGATTTTATGTTGTTAACCTATACAATTTTTTAAAAATTTGATGGTCAAAGATAGAAATGTTTTACTCAAGACAAACCTAATACGAGATGTAAAAAAACAGAGGGAGTACGAGACAAAGGGTTATGTCCTCGTGAAACATTTAGCTGGCAACAAGCCCAACTAGAATTGCCACTCTGATATTATGTACCATGGTTAACAGACTTAGGTAGGCCATCAATTCATCAAATCTTGATTAGCAATTACCTGGCGAACAGCAACTAAGTATTTAATGCCAAGAAGGCTCCCATGACGAACTTCCCATTCTTGTCTGCGCTGCAAGAACAAAGAACAGAGAGAGATGGTAATGATGAATTTGAATGCAGTGTTTGAAAATTTGAGGCGATGAGATAAATGACTACAAAAAACACACCTGCATCTGCAGCAAGATTTTGAATGTATGACATACTAAAGAAGGGTGCATGTACTTCAGCACAGCACCAAGAGCTTGAGCGCAAGTTTCACGAACTGGGGCAACAACTTGATCGGATACATAATCACCAAAGCTAAAAACAGAATAATACAGGAATATATAAGGCTAATAACAAAGATGATAACGTATTAATCGTATATCTGGAAGTAAAGCATACCGGTCCAGAGAAAGTACACAAAGGAAGCGGATTGCACAATCCTGAAGAAATTCCCAATTCTTCATATATGAGTATTTGGCTAATTTCATCAGTTTCATGAATTTTGAATTTTCTGGAGCATGTATATGAGAACTTGGATGTGATATGGAGTTGAGTTTTTCCTGTAATGATTTACATGTTGAATCTTCTTTAGCGGGGTCAGTTGAATCATCAACACCAAGCTCAGGCTCAACTTTTACATGAGTAGAACTTGATTCACCAGTTAATACATCAGGGACATTGCTCGGATCTCCTTCCGTTTTTGGATAATCACTGTTAACCAACTCCTTACCATAATCCATATACACACTTTCAGAACAATTTGGCTCTTTCTTATGCCTCTTTAACGCTGGTTCAAGGTGTTCCACACGAACATCTTCGTTTAGATCAATACCATGTTCCCTTTCAAGGGAATCAAAGTTGGTTTTACCATCCAAATCAGCAGAAGGCAAGCTCAGATCAGGAAAATATACTCCAGCACAAGCACCATGATGTGTCAAAATTTCCCTTAAAGCCATAATGGAGCCATGGCGAACTTCCCAAACTAAAATGCAACACAAGTAAAACCATTGTGAGCAAGACAACAAAAGACAGTAAGATACAAGGCATATTCAGGGATCAGATGGGCTTACTAGGGTCAAACATATCATGAATAAGCTGATCCACAAATTGTTGAAAAGGCCATCTTCCATTCTCACCGTACTCTAGATTGTCTTCATCGACAGCTGTATCAAATACATCCTGAAAAATGGTAATGGAAATGACTAAATAACCCACCAAATAATGCTCAGGCAGGAGTAATATGAATTCCCAAACAAAGCAACAGCCACAAGTCAACATACTGGCGCGAGTGTCAGCACACCCATCCACACATGCAGTAGAACACTGCCATATACCAGCCGTGCTAGCAATTGCGTAAAGAGAAAATACAAAGTAGAAGTTCTAAATTTTCTAAATATATAGCTGCACAGAAACTTTCAAGAGTTGAGCAGATAATAGCTGCACTGAGCCTCAAGATTAATCAGGAATCTGTTGCAACATTAAATTGTCATATTTCATGATCATAGATCCCATTCAAATAAACACTTCAGCAGATTTGCAAGATCTAAAGAGATAAAATGGCACGGCTGACCAATCATACATTTTGTGCACCAGCTTGCTCAGAAGAAGCTCCATTGGAGGGCACAGATCCTTTTAGTGTAACCTCATCATCCTCAGATACAGCCTTTGTATGATCTTTTGCATTACTCTTTGCTTTACGCTTCAGCATATTTAGCTCCCTGGCACTTAATTGTCTAGAGCGAAAATTAGAATGCTTGGGATACCTAGGAACCATGGTGGAAACCAACTGCTGAATATTACGACCTGAATTAAATGAATGGAATCCATTATTCTGTACATGTGAACCCCAATAATTTTTTTGGGCAAGAAGATCCTCGTCTTTGATAACATCACTAACATCCATAAACTGCTCACATACATCCAGTCCTGCACTAGAACAAAAACAAAAACAAAAAATAGTTTAAGCATTCCAGAACACTAATGTATACATGCAAAGATGTTAGTCCTTGTATTCACATCATCAAGACAAGATGGAAACAGCACATCAACAATCCAATGAGAGGGTGGGGCCATGGGGGTACTTCATTCGACTATAGTATTACTACTCCAAGATTTAAAGTGAAACTGGGAAATTAGGCATCTACTACCACTTTTTAAGCAGTATTTCAATCTTTTTAAACCCCAAGCATACCTCCAAATTTCAGAGAAAATCAAATAGATCTAAGCAGTAGTAAAGATGCTGACTTGAAACTTCAGCTGCTGGACTTTTAGCAATACCTAATATGTACATTCAGACATGAATGCAATGTACTCCCTCCACATCATAGTATAGGAGCTCCTCTAGATTTTTCTTTTCAATAGAACCAATAAAAGCCTAGGTACTATTAAATATGTTTTGCCACTTTATACCCCTTCTGAAGGTGTTATAGGCTTATAGCTATGCCAACCTTCTCTTTAACAGCGTTACTGGGGTAAGAATGTTGTAACAGAAGCACTAATACATAAGGGTAAACTGTGAATTCAGACCTTTAATTGACAAAAAGCTAGTCAATTTTTAAAACAACAAATCAGCAACATGTAAGTAAAATCTGAGATTCTGAAAAGACTTAAACATGGAACATGCTCAAAATATTGAAATTGACCTTTTCCTACTAATATAAAGAAAAACTAACCTAAACGACGCCGAAGATTTTTCTTTTGGCGAGCTAGACGCTCTGCTGGATTCTTGCCATTATCAGCAATGTCGTATTCCTAGCAGACAAACACAATCAAAATGTTAGCAATTTCACGTACTGCGGTAACAGAAAAAACTGAAACAGATAAGATTTAAAATGGAGCGCTCAGTTTTACCCTTATACAGGAAACTTTAATAAAATGCATGTAGATACAGACCAAATGAGGATATTTGAGCTGCTCTTGTGTGTAGCTCCAGTTGAAATATTAGAAATATTCTTTTTTATTACAATGAGTTGCAGGTCATGTTGCCACATTTATCTATCGCCCAATCATTTTTTTCCCCGCTAAAAATAATAGTGGATAACTGTACAAACCAATGAGTAAGCTGGGAAGAGATGAAATCTATTTCATCATTTAAAGTTGGCTTTACATTAAGTTTGGTGGGTGGGGGGGCATGAATAACGAGAAGTGCTGATACATTAGGTAAGAAATGAATTAAGGGGTGCATAGGCCACCCATAAAGGAAATCTTGAATAATACATTATAAATCAGCATGGTCCCTAAAGAAAATCGAAAGTACTCAATGTACACATTAAATCTTGAAGCTGAAAAATATTGGCACAAACAATACACCTGTCCACCTGATGCCAATAGAGGAGATCCAAATTCCAATACCCTGCCTATGTCAAAGCTGTAAGTAAGATAGAAAGAAAACAGCATTAGTGACTAGTGAGGGCACCGAAGGGGAGGGGGGATTGGTAACTGGTAAACATTGAAGTTAAATGCAGCCAACCTTCCAAAAGCAAGATCAGATGTTGCTGCGCTATCAGTCTGTGGCAATGCTGAGTCAGCATCATCACTTCCATCAGAGAACCCGGAAGCATGTTTTTCTGCTTGCACAGAAGCATACAAGTCCTTCAATGATGTGTGTTTGACATTCTCTGCTATTGCACCAATCGCATGGGCTGCCGCAACCCTTGTATCCCAATTTTTACTACGAGTATATTGAGAAACCTACAATTGACACACAGCAACATGAAATTCAGCCAACTAATGTGTGCGGAACACATAAAAAGAACAGTCGCTGATCCTCTGGCAGAATATTTACAGAGATACCACTTGACAGGATGTTTGTAGCTAGATATAGAAGAGCAAGCAATATTAACTTATCCTAGGATGAAAACACCTCATATCAACAATGTTAAAAGTGCATTTATGCAACTGTCTTCTCATACAGTGCTGGGTGCTTGGTGCAAAAGTACATAATGGATATTCAGCCAGTTTGAGATGTATTCACTTTGACAAAATCATCCCATTACATGGGGAATAGCACCAGAGCATGATAGCTCTTGATCGCAACCCAAGCCAGCACCAAGCTGCTCTGCCCCCTGAGTTTGGCAGGGGGCTGGGGGCACGTTAAGAGTGTATTTTATTCAAATTGTATTCTCACCTAGTTTTGGGCGGTTTGTGTAAATGTCCATCATGTATGTTCGGCCCTTTGGGATTATTTTGCAATTTTGTAATAAATAGACATGAAGATAAGAAAGGGAAAACAAAACAGTGAAATAAATTGAGCTCTGCTTAATACTCTTTAAACAATAGATATCGACACTTAAACAGAAAACAGATGAATCATATAGACATAGCTCTCTTTGCTATTTAACCTATCAACCTATACACCATTCCATTCGTATCAGTAGTGCAGAACAAGAAAACTACTTGGCGCATATTTGTCCTAACATACAGATGTGAGCTTAAGCAGCTAAAGTAGTTGGGTATTCGATTGGATCTTGTGCGGTGCAACATATGAAGCAAGCACAAAGGTACCATGCTTGAAGAGCTGAAAAAACTAGCAACAGCCATGCCACCAATGTACCTTTTTGAGCAACGAATTCAGCTCCTGGGGGTGGGACTTGGCGATTTCTCCAATTTGGCGTGCAGCCGCAAACCTCGTTGCTTGTGTCGAACCAGCTGGGTAATGTTAAAGAAATTTTGCAGGGATAGATAAACCAACAGAGAACCTCAAACGACTCCCATAGACAGTCATTTCAGCAACTTATAATAGATATTGAGTGATTATATTTTTAGCATCGTTAGTTGCACATTTCACCAGGCAAAGGTGCAGATCAGTTAAACTCTAGAGAAGCAGTACACAGTACATACCAGGAGCTGTAATAACAGTTATGGACCATATTAAAAAAAACAATTGTACTATTAAATAGATTCTGTCTGCAGAGTGTGGGCAACAGATTGAAAGGATACTGTCTAGTAATGTGAGGAGGCGGTGAAGACGGGACGAGTTCTGAGCCATAAATGACGCAGAGGGGCAGACGTGACATCCGAGGAAGTATACTGAGGGAAGGTATACTTCACCACCTTCACGTTTAGTCAGCAAGTAGGTAAATTACTCCGCATATAATACAAAGTACACACCAGCTCTGCAAAAGAACAGACAAGGGGAGGAAAAATTAAGCTCACTGCAGCCCCAGAAGAGTGGAGTGGCGTGGCCAACAGAACACGTAACGTAACATGGCGCGCGATAACGAAATGAATGAACCCCACCCGTAAACAGATGGCAGGCGGACAGAACCGACATGCACGGGACAGGCGGGCTAGGCGGAGGTGCAGAGAGCTGGAAGCTAACTAATTCGGGCGTGAGATCCTACAGCACCACAAAGTTCAGGGCACGTCGTTCGAGCATCAAAATCGAAACGGAACGGCCGGCTGCGGCTGAAATTTCAAATCTACCGTGTCAATCGATCAAATCAAATCAGCGGAGCGGCGCAGGGGAACCGCCGGCGTCCTGCGGGAGCCGTGAGCGCGAGAAGAAGGGAGAGGGTGGCGGGAGACGAACCTGCCGGGAGCGGGGAGGAGAGAGGCGGGCGGGCGGCGCCGGGCGACGAGCGGCGGGAGAAGGGGATCGCGGGAGGCTGAGGGGGCGGAGGGGCAAGCCCTCGCGGGGAGGGGCGCGTGGGGCCGGGAGGCGGCGAGCGGAGGCGGAGCCCAATCCGCGCCCGCACGCACGCGCGCGCCCGGCCGGGTCGGGACGGGCTCTGGATGTGGCCTGGGTGGTGGATGGTGCTGGTCGAGTCGAGTCGGCACCGGCTGCTGGTCGTGGCCTGCCTAGGTGCCCCGCCCCCGCCTTATTATATAGACTTTTCGCTTGGAGGAGCTTTCACCCCAGAACGATCCGATCGGGTGGGTGGAAATGGGCTATCCAGTATGGATTTGGGCCTCTAAATAAAAGGGCTATTCTGTACGGCCCATACCTTTTGAATCCAACAGAATCTGTCAGGCCAAGGCCGTTTTTTTTCAAACACCCGTCTAGGCGACTCTATCGTGTATTTTTTGTTTTTTTAGTCACCTACTATAATATTTTTTGCTATACACCATACTGTTTAAAGTTTAAACATTTAAACATATAGTAAAAATTCATTTATCTAATAAAACCTAAAAGTTATAATTCGGAACGAAAGAGTATTTGATATCTAGAAAAAATAAACACCTTATAATTTGGAACGGAGGAGTATCTGATATCTAGAAAAACCTAAACGGCATATAATTTTGAACGGACGAGTATTTGAGTAGCTTACAATTTGGAACGGATGTGTATTTGAGTAGCTCGTGTATCCAGCAGATGAAGTCTAATCCGCTACTCTGCCTATTAAATCGTTGCTACTGCTAAGGACCTTGGGCTCGCGCAATGGCATGCGTGCTCTCCACTCTCACAGATTAGGAGTGAAAAAGGAGGGTAACGGCCTTTCACAGGCCCATGTGTCGCTTTAAGATTACGGCCCGCCCGAAACAAAAATGAACCATTAGCTCTGGACTGAACAAAGTTCTGCCATCAGCACTCTACATGTTAGTGCAAAACCACCAACCACAGGAGCTCTCCAACATCAATACAAAGTCCTGCCATCTCATACTTTAATCTTTAAATTCGAGCACCACAATCATTTCAGTACAACTGACGATCCAACGCTTAAAATCACCCAGATGGGGAGAAAACTAAAAACCTAAAAAAAATGCATGTGATGGTTTAAATACATGGTTGTACTTAGGATGTATGCAATGGATACCTACCTGAATACCTGATACAAGCATCAGGGCAGAATTATCGATGACAATGTAGGTGCTAGTAATAAGGAACAAAGGATGAAGAGACAACACTTTAGTTACCGATCCAATCGCAGAATGCAATAGTCAGCGTAATCATATCTCACAGAAAGCATTCCGCACCATAATGGCATCACAGAAAGCATTCCGCACCAGAATGACACATTATCAGAAACCAACAAGCGGCAAGCATCGCATCTACATCCAGGTCCCTTGCCTGCAACAAATAATATATGCAACTTCTTCAGGTTGCCTACCACGACCAAATTGTTGAGACGAGAAAGCTGCTCTCTTACTGCAGCAGTAGGCTACGCAACTCCTTACATCATTGCCACCTTTCGCCCTAATCACACTTCACGTTATGTCAAGAGGACTAGCTCATTTGGTTGGGTGCACAGAGTGCTGGCTGTGCTTCTCCCAATGCCCACTATGAGCCAACACCCGCAACTCCCTTGGCGTTTGCCGTTGCAGCTTCTTGTGCTGCAGCGGCTGTGCCTGCAACTCCCTTGGCTTTCGCTGCCGCTTCTTGTGCTGCTGCCGCTGCCGCTGCCGCTGCCGCTGCCGCTGCAGCAGCTGGTGGTGGTGATTGGGGGGGAGCCGAAGCTGCCGGCGTCTTCTGCGGCACCTTGGCAGCCTTCTTCTGCTTATTGTCACTCTTGTCTACCTGTGCCAGTAGTTTCTTGATCTGGGCTCCAGACAGCGTTTCATGCTCAAGAAGGGCGTTCGCTAGCGCGTGAAGCTCCTTATCGTGAGTTGTCAGAATTGTCTTTGCATTATTGTACGCCTTCTCCAGAATTTCCTTCACCTCCTTGTCAATAACACCACTTGTTTGTCCGCTCATCCTATTCCCATTGTTGTCACTGTAGGAAACAAGACCCACCCGCTTACTCATACCATACTTGGTGACCATGGCTCTTGCCAGCCGAGTCGCGTTCTTTAGGTCAGCCGAGGCACCGGAGGTTACCTCGCTTTCCCCAAATATAAGCTCCTCAGCCACTCTTCCTCCCATGCAAACATCCAGTCTTGCCAGCATCTGCTTTCTTGAAACGCTATACTGATCCTTCTCTGGGAGCTGTGTAACCATACCAAGAGAAACTCCCCTCGGAACAATTGTAGCCTTGTGAACAGGGTGAGCACCCTCAGTGTGAATTGCAACAAGGGCATGCCCTCCCTCGTGATACGCAGTAATCTTCCTGGATTCATCAGATATCACTGCCGATTTGCGCTCGCTGCCCATCATGATCCTATCCTTAGCATATTCAAGGTCCAGCATTGTAACAGCTTTTGCTCCATCCATAGCAGCCTTCAGAGCAGCTACATTCACCAAGTTCGCAAGGTCTGCACCTGAGAAACCAGGAGTTCCCCTTGCAATGGTCATCAGATCCACATCATCAGCTCTTAAAACCTGAGATCATGAAGGAATTGCCAAGTGAGCATTCTAAACCAGAGAATTCCTGAAGCACAAAAGAAGTTGGGTATAGGATTAAGGATTTACCTTTGACATATGAGTCTCCAGGATCTGCCGCCGGCCCTCAACATCAGGATTAGGAACCACAATATGACAGTCAAAGCGCCCAGGCCTAACAAGTGCCTTATCAAGTGACTGAGGGAAGTTAGTAGCAGCAATGACAATAATCCCATCATTCTGCTTAAAGCCATCCAGTTCAACAAGCAACTGATTCAAGGTCATCTTCATGTACTGTTGATCCTTGGGATTTCTGCTCCCACCAATCGCGTCAATCTCATCAATGAATATTATACAAGGAGATCGTTTTTTTGCTGCATTGAACAGGTCCCTCACTCTTCTAGCCCCAACACCCACAAACATCTCTTCAAATTCACTACCACTGCATGAGAAGAAAGGAACACCAGCTTCCCCAGCTATAGCCCTTGCCAGCATGGTTTTTCCAGTTCCAGGTGGTCCCACCAGCAAAACACCTTTAGGAAGCTTTCCTCCAAGGCGTGTAAAACGCTGGGAAGAATGAAAGGTGCATGTGAGTAATAAAATTTGAAACATGAATATACATCCAAAAAATGAGCACTTCGACGTGTCTTCTACAAAGCGCAAATTCTAGATTACAAAGTCATCATTAACAAAGCAGTGCAAAGGGAAAAACAATAGTCTAATACTATATGAGACCAAAACAACTATGGATGTAGAGTGTTAGAAAAACTCAAAGAAGAGTTCAAGGAGCCTGAAAGTGAAGTCAAACAATGAGCTCACAAAGGATTGCTAGAAGAAATAGGGTGAGTAAAATTGATGGAGCCTGCAGTTTCCTCTGAGTTTAACATAAAAAAATCCCAACAAATCACGGCATAAAAAAGAATTAGAAAACTGATAGACCATATTACTTGGTCGTCACTGTGTTGGAATTCAGTGCACTCCTACGCTTTAGTCCTAATGGGCATATTGGACTAGACATAATGTTAATCAGGCTATTTAGTTGTTTTATCTCATCACAGACAAATAGTTATGCCAGACTAAAAGTTCACCTTGGGATCTCGTAGGTAGTGAACAATCTCCTCAAGTTCAGCTTTAGCTTCGTCAACTCCCTTGACATCACTGAACTTTGTGCTTGAATCCATGCTGGGCCGAACCTCTTCGTTCAAACCAAGTCCTGTATATAAACCCAAATTTCAATGATAATTGCTGCACAAACAGAATCAGGAACAAGAGAGTCATCATACTACACAATAACAAACCTTTACTAATTCCCCTGTCTTCAATGAGAGCTCCAATGCCGGAG